GAAATTTTTCTCCGTTGCGTGTCGCTTCGCGTTGAATTTTCGTCGATGTTAAGCCTAACAAAGACTATTGTATCGTTAAAAATTATTTTTTTATTTTGTACGAACAAAATAAATATATTGAAAAATATAAAAACAATAAAAAATTATACTTCAGGAGTTAATTTAGTATCAAAAACGTAAAATATTTGAGTAGCCGAAGACATAGCCAAAGATTACAGCGCCACAGCACTGGCGAAAATTTAAATTTGTCGACTGGAATTCTTTCGGATAACTGACGTTTCGGATAACCGACCTTCGAATAAACGACGCTCTACTGTATTTGAATCTAGAATAAATTCTTCCTGTATTTGTGAAGATTCAGCTTAGAACATTGAATTTCCTTTTTAAGAAAGATAATAAAATTAGATTTTAGTTAATGCAATTTATTCTAATTACAACTAAAGAAAACTGTAGAGAATTCATGAATTCTAAGAAAACCTATGAATTCATTCATTACTGGAGTACTCGAAGACTTTGGTTGCTGTAGAATGAATTCTACCAGAATACTGTAGTTATGAATTAGTAAATAAATGAATAAAAATATTACTCATCAAACATATACGAAATAAAACTTGCACTGCTTAATTCTAGACATTCTCATAAACTTATTCGAATGTTCTCTCCATATTTTCATTTATATACACTATATTCTTATAAAGACAAATATAAGGGGTCTAAAATAAAGATAGAAAAAAGGGGTCTTTAAACTTATCATATAGTTTCTTTCAATTATATTTATTGAGATTTACGAGTAATTTAACGTGATTAAGAAAGAATATAAAGAAAATCTTATTAATATATTTTAATAAATTAACTTTTTTTAAGAGGGGCGATATTTGAATGGAGATATATTAAAATTTAGTATAATGAAATTAATATATTAAAATATTTACATCATTTACATACAGATACTCTTTAAAAGCATCCTTAAATGAACATAGTTAGACGACTGAAGTCATTTTTTTTATTAAGTGAGGTAATGAAGCGAAATTTTACATGAATATAGGCATCATACTTATAAGTTTACTTGACTTTAATTTGATTAATGTTGTCCATCAGTCACTGTAAGTTTAAAATGAATATATTTAAGATGTTGCAGAATACTTTAATTAAATGCTTTTCACTTATAATTTTATTATTTATTATTTCAGTCTGTAGATGCTAAATATGATGAGAACAGGTTGTCATCATCATATTTAAATAAGGATTTATGTCATTCAAATCCCTGTTTTTCATAGCATATCGCTCCTCGTTATTTATTTAATTTGATAACACAATTGAATTACTCTGCTTGATGCTTTTTATTCGTACTTGTGTGAAAACAAAGATCTATCTTTCACTTAAATTTGAACTCGATACTTTCCTTTCATACTTAAGAGAAAGCATCATATGTGATGAATATGCTTGGTACTTTCCTTTCGTATTTAAGTTAGAAGTTTTTTCACAGGATAATATGAACTCAGTTTGCTTCACGTATGTATTATTCTTAAAAATAAAAAAATCCAGCAACTAGTTGCTTAACTTTCTCGGCAACATTTGGTAGCGCCATGTTATAATATTTTGTTTAAAAACTTTTTATATTTAAAATTATTATAAAATGGCAAAAAGCTTAATTTTTGAGGATAGAGATGGGTTTTATAAAATTTATAAATGCTAATAACGAGTAAAATCGTCATTAAGTCTGACCCTACACAACCCCTTTTATCGCCCCCACCCCTTTACTTACCAAAATTTATTAGCATCAATCCCTCTAATAAGCAAACCTCCAAATTTCAGAAATTTTCGACCAAAAGCACAGGAGTTATTAAGCTTCAAACAGGGGGAACAAAATCATGCCCCCCACACACATACTAACATCCATATATACAGATTTTTTTGCATTTCTCGACGTTTCGAGGTCCTCTTAGTCCAAAAATTAAAAATCTGGGGTGTCATTTTTTTGACCGATTACCAGACTTTTCTTCTGTTATATATAACAGCCGAGAAAGTAAAATTGTCAGGATTGATAATGTTAGCATATAATAATTAGTTAAAATTAAATGTGTTCAGTACAGTATAACAAAACGAGCTTAACAGTTAATGATGCACTCTTCCCTAAGTACAGAATGATTTAGGATGATATATATTGTGTTTAGTATTTAATTTAATTCGTCCTTTAATATTTAGTATTTTTCATTATAATCTAAATTTGTTTCCCTTAAATGATAGAAGAAAACCTTATGCAACTCTACAACTACTTAATAATAAGGATCTATCTATTCATTCATAACAGTTCACAATAAGAAGTTAGAATGCTCTTGCAATCTTACGCTAAAGAATTTTCATTAATAGAATGTGGAAATGGGAAATTTATTCTAGTTTATAATTTATACAATAAATAATTTAAGGTATTAAGAGTTCATAAATAGATTAAATTTCCCATTTCTCACACTTAGAGCTTATAATTCGTTCTGAACTGACAAGTATAAGGATTGCAAGAGTATTCTAATTCAAGCAAGAGAAGGGGATTGTTTATAGCTCATAAATTTATAATTAGGATTCTAGAGTAACTAGAGCATTTGGTTATGAATTTAGAGATAAATAAAGCAAAGAGTATAAGTAATCTGAGAGTCTAAACACGAGAGATTTAGAAGAGCTGCTGTAGATAACAATAGGAGATTAATTAACAGATTTTTTAAATGATTTTATAGATTAGTCGAAAGATCTGTCGATGATTTGGAGATCATTTATGAAGAATTGTTACATATAAAAGCATTGTCACACCTGTCAAACAGTGTCAAGAAAGAGTTGGCGAGTGTCTTATGCTTCGAATCTCATCCTAGAGCTGGAACCGTTCGTGAGTATTAAATTTATTAAAATTGTGAATTTTTCAAATGTAATAGCAATAAACAAATGAAATATTTAATAATGTATCTAAATACCACTATATTTTTGATAATTTTAGTATTTAATCAAGGAGATGAAGGAAAATCTTGGTATATTATACTTAGAGGATCGGTAAATGTGGTTATTTATGGAAAGGTGAGCAATTAAACCTTAAATTAATTAACTTAATTTTTTTAAATGTTTATTACTTTAAGGACTTTAATTTTGACACAATTTAAAATTATTTTCGATATAGGGTACAGTTTGCACCTTACAGGAGGGTGACGATTTCGGAAAACTGGCATTAGTAAATGATGCACCGAGGTAATTTTTTGATAACTATAACAAAAACTTTAGAAAAATCTAAATTAAAATGTTGTTAAATTAATTCTTTGTGTCTTTAGAGCAGCAACAATAGTCACAAGAGAAGATAACTGTCATTTTTTAAGAGTGGATAAAGATGATTTCAACAGAATACTCAGGGTAAATTTATCATTAAATTTAATCGTAATTATACATATTTTAATTAGATTTTATCGTATATTTAATTTAGGACGTTGAAGCCAACACAGTCAGGTTAAAAGAACATGGTCAAGATGTCCTATTGCTTCAGAAAATACCAACAGATGGTCGCCAGAGTGACGGTTCCCATTCCCATTATAAGTAAAAAACCATTAATAAGATCTCTCCTAAACATTTTTAGATAATTAAAATTAATTAATATGATTATTATTTTCTAAATGTGATGAAATAATCTGATTATGTTGATTTACTTAATCAAATTCTTCAATTATTAGATACACAGTGATGGCAGGAACACCACAGAAGATGCTGGAACATCTTTTAGAAACTAGAATAGATACAAGAAGCGAAGATAGCTCAGGTGAATGATTATGAGAATAATATTTCATACATTAAATATTAATTTTTAATTAATCATATTCAATTTATATATATTAATAGATACATTTCTAGAAGATTTTCTTTTAACTCACGTCATCTTCATGCCAAGTCATCAGTTCTGTCCAGAATTAATGAGGCAATATCCTTTATAAAATATACATTTTTATGCTTATAAATTAATTCAGAAGCATTAAAAATTATTTTTTTCTTAACTGAATAATTTACTTATAAGATAGATGAGGCGAATTCCAGACAGGAAAAGGAATTTATTCTTGCAAATAAGAGAAGAGTTGTGCAATTTACTCATATATGGGCCACAACGATACGAGATGCTTTTTTCGAAGATACTAGCATCTTCTCCTTTCTCCATGTCAGTATTTAGTATTTTCTTATTAATAACTTGAAAAAAAAATTATTTTTTTTAATATTTTCTATTATTTAACCATTGTAGGAGCTGCAAGAAGCTGTCGTTGAAGATTGTAAAAAGTATAGAGGTCTTCAAGAAGAATTAAAATGCATTACGGCCATTATAGAAGCTAGAGAAAAGTAAATGATAGATTATAATTAATTATTCAATACAATTTAAATGTAATTAAGTCTTTTACTTATATATTTAATTCAAAACACGCCACAAATTAAATAGCTAATGCANTATACTCTCTAAATTTAATTAAAATCACTTTTTCTCGCTCTATCTTTCGGTGTTTCTCAACTTCTACTATCTGTGAATTACTTTATTGCAGTTTTTTTTAATTTTTAATGATATTTTTGGAATTTTCTATGCTTTTTTGAGATAATTCCAAAAATTAGACTAGAAATTCTTCTGTGGACAATTGTAAAGAGTGATGAAGTGAGTTTCTCACTGCACTGATGTTGCTTTGAGATGGGTTTATGGGAATTTCTGTATTTCTAAAGGCTTCAAGAACTTCATAAATTTGTAGAAACCATACAGAAATCTCAAATTTCTACAGATTTCAGTATTATTTAACGGACTGTAGAGAAATATCGCGTGAAGATTAAATATTTCAGAGAAATCTTTTAAATTTATACAGGAATTTGTGAGAGATTGTAGAGAAAGTTGAACTGTAGAGAAAGCTATGAAATTTGTAGAAGTTGTAGAGTAATCTATAAAAGATTTCAGAAATAAATCTTATGAAAAATGAAGGATTTCAGAGAAATCGATGAATAGTTTTTTAGAGAAATATTTGAAATTTGTAAAGATTGTACAGAAAGATCGTATGAAAGATGAAAGATTACAGAGTAATTTATGAAAGATTTTAGTGAAAGATTATAACAGATGGAAAAAAATCACAGAAATATTTAAAATTTAAGGAGATTGTAGAGAAAAAATCGTATGGAAGATGAAAGATTTCAGAGATTTTAGAAAAAGATCATACGAAACATGAAAGACTGTAGAGAAATCTTTGAAATTTGTAACGATTATAAAAAATTGTATAAAAAATAATAAAAACTTGCTATATCTATAGAATTTTCCTTATTCTTAAACTTCTTTAATAATCCTACTTTATTGATGAGTGAGGAAATTTTTTTATTAATTTAATTTTATAAGGAAAAAGTTTGTTATTTTTACTTAATTTTTTAAAAGTAAAATACGAAAAAGTAAGAAAAATTTTTTTGAAACTCAAACCAGAAACGAAATTCATTTAATCATATTTAAAGCAGGCAATTAAGAGAAAATTGATGATCCTAGTTTAAACTATTAAAATTCGAATGGAAAAGATGCAGATAATAGAATCAACTGTCCAGGGAAATGAATATTCATGATCGAATTTTGTATATTTAATTCTCTGATGATAATTTATTTTCATAATTTTATTTTAACGTCGAATTGATTTTGGTTTGGTGATATTTTTTGAATATTTTCCCCTATTTATCATTAAGATAACACGTCAAATGTTTACTTTCAACGTGAATAACGTGTGTTGTATGATTAGTTTAGGATAACTTTCTAATTAATCTTGGTAAAATCTTATTAATTACATAGAAAAATATGTTAAAAATTAGTTTTTATGCATCAGAACTTATTAAAATTTACCATTTAATTGGAACAGACGTAGTAATGAGATAAATTGGTGGTAAATAGCATTAGCCAATGTGAAAAATGTTTATATGGTTTTATTGGTTATATAAAGTAAATAAACGCCACCTTTTTTTTTAAAAAAAGTCGATAATTATGTTTTAATCGTTAATTTTCGTTAGGGACAAGACATGAAGATGGAAAACAAGCTAACGGCACATTAAGGAATCTACCTCCTCCGAAAAAGAAGACAGAATCGTTAGATGGAACATCATCTATTCTGCCTATAACGCAGGTAATATTTCTAATTATTTTATAATTTTGTACATTAAATAGGATCTAAAATTGCTTTTCTCTGTTTAAGGAACCATCTACCAAATTAGCTCGAGCCGGTTTGGTAATAAGAACACTTATTATCCATCATTCTCCTCAGTTAATTCGCGATAGGAAATATCATTTGAGAAATTTTCGACGTTGTTTAGTGGGTACAGAAATGGTTGATTGGTTAATGCAACAGGGTAGTTCTCATGTTCGAATCCATTCCCGTTCACAAGCAGTTGGTATGTGGCAAGCACTGTTAGAAGAAGGCGTTATATCGCATGGTAAGTGTATAATAAATTGATAGAATTCTTATATAAAATATATAAAACATGAGTTTTATTCGTCTGTATAACATTGATTATCATATATACGAGAAATCGAATAATATTCATACATGATAATAGATTCATGTATTATTGCCATTCTACAATTGATTATTCACGTATTTTTCCTTCAGTAACTCACGAACATCAATTCAAAGACAAATATTTATTTTATCGTTTTCGTGAAGACCAAGACGGGGTCACTTCTACACCAACAATGGAGGATAAACTGCAAGCAGAAAGTGAACTACAAGATGTTTTAACTTTATTGCTTCAACTATCCCCAGATGCAGTTTTCAGAACAATTTTAAGGAAACCGTAAGCGAAATTTATTAGTATTCTTTTCATTTCTTAAACAATGTTCAATATAAAATTGCACATACCACTTCTAGAATGTTAAACATTATCCATTTACTGTGTCCATTAAGTTGTTAAGTGACTCTTAACAATAATAGAGAATATTAAGCTGTTAGTGAGGAAACAATATAAAGTTTACATGTTAATGGAGTTAACAAGTATTATTCTTTTTAAGTTCAATTCGTATCCTGAAGTGTCAAGCAATTATCATTATATTTTCCCTTTATTATATATTGTTTTCGCTTCATTAAATGTTTCGCAATACACAGTTTAAGTTCAAAGAAGCACAGATTTATTCAAGTTTTTACTCTAATTTTTTGATAAAATCGCCCGTTATATCCGGAAATCTTTATTGATAATTCGATAATAAATTAGAATATTCTACTTCTCTAGCAGATGGAAGTGGAGAAAAATAATTGAGGATTACATAAATCCATGTGATATATACAAAAACCTGATTGTATGCGAGGAAATTAAGCTATAAAACCTAAATGTAACGCATTAATTATCAAAAATGTATTAAATTTTATGTTGATAGGCGTGATGTGTTTCTATCTATGATTAAATTCTTAATGTTTTAACGGTATTTAATCACATTTGTTTTGATATGTGCTATATATTTTGACATTATTCATAAGAAGTATATAGATAAATGTATGTAGCTTTGTATCTGTTAATCATGTATCTCTAAATCATGTCAGGAAAGTATAAACGATACTTTTTTTTAGAAATCGAGCATCAATTCGATTCAATCCTAATTTCTTTCATAGAATTAACACCTTCTGGCTTTTACTGTGTTGCAAAACTTACAGTACATTAAAATTATAATTTAAAGTAAAACATGAATTTAAATAATGTAATTTGCATATTTTGCGATGAATTAGTTTATCAAAGACCAAAACAGCTTAATCATTTATTTCATTATACAGTTTAAATGCTGTAATTATGTAAATTTTTATCCATAAAATGATAAATCATTCTTAAAACTTTTCGTCATAATTAGTATACATTCCTCCCCGTTAATACTGAATTAAATACTAAAAATGAATTTAATATCAGGCTTTTAATTGCTACCAATCTAAGAAAAATGATACAAAAGATCTCAAAATTTAAATTCTAACAATCTTGAGTTTAAGGAAAATTTCAGTAAATTTATAATGTTATATTCTGTAAATTAATGTAAATAAAGGAAAATGAAATCTTAACACGTAAAATTATTAATTAAAGTATTAAATGTTTAATTTAATATCGCAATAAAAGTGTACATTAATTTTCTTTCTCATTTAATATTAAAATTATTATTAATATTTGGTTTAATTTTTGAAGAATTGTGACATTATTCTATGATTTAGAATTGCGTCATTAATACGAATGCTGGAGAATTCTTCGGTGCATATTAAACATAAATTAGCGCTTGAACATTTCAAGAAGACACTTTTATGTGGCATTTTATTGCTTACTTTTAGCAATAAATTTTACACAAAAAATCATTACGAAACATCAACGTTTTAATCATAATGTGCAATCATGGGAAATAAAAGAACAGAAAATTAACGTAGAACAAGTGACACCATGTTCAATATGATCTCACTATTCTATAATATCAAAATTTAATAAAATTTAATAAATGTGAAATATTCTTTTTTTGTCACTTTACAAAATTCGATTTTCCCGAATTCATATTTATCTAGAAATGCCAATTTTCACTAATATATCTTGTATTTCACATGTATGTGGAGCTACTTGCAAAATGTACCATGTGATTTTTGACATTTTGAGAGAAAGACCGAAAACTTATTTCGCGAAAACAATGGAAACTGGAGACATGGTTTAAATTGATATTTATCATTAACGGTGAAGACATTGTACTGCGCTATGATCGATAAAATGGAATCCCATAGATTCAGAGGTACAGTACAATGTTTCTGTTTTGCCATGTGGTGCAGTTTGGCAGTAGGACTTTGCGAATAAGTTTGCAGTATAATATATTGCAACTTAATTTGAAGTACTGTATTAAGCTGATTGGTATTTCATGTCGTACGTTTTGTCGCAGAAAAAAGTAATTTTCTATTCGTCAATATGCAAGTAAATGTCGTTTTTTCTCATTAAATTATATAGAAAGTAGTGGATGTTTGGAAACCAGGCCTTCATCACATGGTACAGATCTTGACAAAGATTGCAAAACGCAATTATGGTTAAAGGTCACGTTGTCAGTTTTGCAACTACGCAACTCATATCTAACAAATAATATATTTTTTGCGAGATGAGGTACCATCTATACATAAATTTGGGTTTTAACTATCCGTAAACCATAAAAGAATAAATTTCGAAGTTTCTCTGTAATTGAATTCACAATTAATTCTAGAAATTCGTTGTTTTTAAGCAGATTGTAATAATAAAACAAAGATTTATTTACTTATTGAAACGATATTAAGAAATTGTAAATCTAAATGTAAGTTAAATGTGTTTAACAAGCTATTTTATAACCAAAAGTAAATATTAATTTATCTTCAAAATGAATTTAAATACTATCTGAAGAGATGGAAAAATTGACTTTATATACTTTCCTGTTCAAAATTTGTTTAAAACATTGAATATTTTTATATAAAGCATTTAAAATATGTTATTCTTTAATTGTATTTATTGTAATTATAGATAAAAGAAAATTACTGCACCTACTTACATCTAACTAAATATAACCTCAAATATACACAGAATATCCAATAATTAGAACATTAATTAACGTTATTTTGCCATTTACATCAGTTGAATTACAAAATAATTTTGTTTAATTTAACTAAAAACGTGTCATTCGTGTAATTAACCCTTTCTCTTTCTTCCTCTGTTTACATTTGTAATTTATTCAAGTATTATTATCTAAGTACAGTATTTACATTTTCAGTATTTACAATTGAATTTAGATTACAGTTTTTCTGTATTTGTCGTTAGTTTTATAAGTGTTGGAAGGAATCACCAAATGTTATTTGGAGGAATCACCAAATGTTATTTGGTGATTCCAAAATTAAAAGAAACACCTAAATAATGAGGACATGTATTTTTAAACGATAGAAAGACGAAAACAATAAAATTATTTAGAGAGCATATTATACCTTCTGGACCAGAATAACATGAACTATCCTCTGGACTTGTCATACTGAAAAATTACCTACAAATATTAAACTTTTCATAGCATTAATCGCAAATTTCAATTAGTTTCAACAGTAGACTACTTTATCCTACTCTTTTATTTCTTTTTTCCTCGTCTATGTTCCTATTTCTTTTCTTCTTTATTTCTTTCAGAACCTTATACATTATTATTATGAATTAACTGTGGGTCAGAATGATATAGACTGTTCTCTGGATCTATTACAACATAGGAAGTAAATTATCCTATCATAGAGCCATAAAAATAGTAAATCATGGCTCAGCGATAGGATAATTGCTTTTAATGTTACACGACAAGCCAAGATGATAGGCTATGTTATTCTGATCCTATTAAAGGTGTGGGTAACTGATAACAATAATGTGTAATCATCTGAGAAGATGAAAAGAAATATAGGAGGAGAACCAAGTGAAATTAATGGAAACGTTTTAATTAATGCTATGAACATTTCAAAAGTTATGGTATTTTTAAAAATATTTATTCAGTTAAAGTTAATGAAGATAGAAATAATACTATATTAAACATGTAGAACTATGAGGGAAGCATTCTGTAGAATCAGATAGATCCTGTTACCCCATCAACTGATGATAATTCGATTTATTTGAAGCTAAAAATTTGGGCATGTTAAATTTTGTGATTCATATTTATTTATTTAACACCATTCTTTAATTTTATGCCTTAAACTAGCTATTTACACTATATTCTTTTCCATATTGACCATTTTTCTCGCTATGTGACTTCACACATTCATTGACATATGTAATGTTTGCTCACTCCAAGTTTTTCTGATCGAAGTTATGTTTGCCTTTAGTATATTTTAGTACAGTAAATTTATCTTTACTGCAAGATATATATACATAAAAACACATTTTATACACATTTTCTTACAACGAATTTATCTTTATTTCCTTAAAGTAAAGTTAAATATTTCCTTTATTTAATATCTTAATTTATCAAGGTAAACTGTGTAAGATTTTAATTAAAATTTATGAACTTTTTGTCAATTTAACAAAAAATTAATCGAATTNTAAAATATTTGAGTAGCCGAAGACATAGCCAAAGATTACAGCGCCACAGCACTGGCGAAAATTTAAATTTGTCGACTGGAATTCTTTCGGATAACTGACGTTTCGGATAACCGACCTTCGAATAAACGACGCTCTACTGTATTTGAATCTAGAATAAATTCTTCCTGTATTTGTGAAGATTCAGCTTAGAACATTGAATTTCCTTTTTAAGAAAGATAATAAAATTAGATTTTAGTTAATGCAATTTATTCTAATTACAACTAAAGAAAACTGTAGAGAATTCATGAATTCTAAGAAAACCTATGAATTCATTCATTACTGGAGTACTCGAAGACTTTGGTTGCTGTAGAATGAATTCTACCAGAATACTGTAGTTATGAATTAGTAAATAAATGAATAAAAATATTACTCATCAAACATATACGAAATAAAACTTGCACTGCTTAATTCTAGACATTCTCATAAACTTATTCGAATGTTCTCTCCATATTTTCATTTATATACACTATATTCTTATAAAGACAAATATAAGGGGTCTAAAATAAAGATAGAAAAAAGGGATCTTTAAACTTATCATATAGTTTCTTTCAATTATATTTATTGAGATTTACGAGTAATTTAACGTGATTAAGAAAGAATATAAAGAAAATCTTATTAATATATTTTAATAAATTAACTTTTTTTAAGAGGGGCGATATTTGAATGGAGATATATTAAAATTTAGTATAATGAAATTAATATATTAAAATATTTACATCATTTACATACAGATACTCTTTAAAAGCATCCTTAAATGAACATAGTTAGACGACTGAAGTCATTTTTTTTATTAAGTGAGGTAATGAAGCGAAATTTTACATGAATATAGGCATCATACTTATAAGTTTACTTGACTTTAATTTGATTAATGTTGTCCATCAGTCACTGTAAGTT